CTTTAGAATATTGTTTAAATATTTGGCTAAATTAATGTTCGGCAACTGAGATTTACTGAGCATCCCGGAAAATACCAATACTGTAAAATGTCGGAGTAAACCCCAGCATTATTTAGATTTTACCCCGAACGCTCGGGGGCGTGTGTGTCAGGGTACGGGGTTTTCCAATTGTTTCAGAACGGTGTTCGGGTTGCTTGAACCCAAATAAGAATGATTCTTAAATACATACCAATAGGAAGATTATCGTAAGAAGATGGATTGCCAAACGCCCATGGACGAACATCACGGTTGGGTATTGGGAGTCCATCATAACGTCCGTAGTCACAAGTTGTGCTGTCCGTCCATGTGCAGTGTACTGTTGGACTGGCAAAAGGTTTTGCAAACTGAACACGAGAAAGTCCAATCCAAAATGAACGATAAATTTGATCTAAATTTTTTATTAAAAGTATTTCTTCACCCGAATGGTCCGGGGCGAGTACATATTGGAAAATCCTTGATAGAGAACCCTTTGGAAATTAGTTTCGAAAGCTACCAAGAAGTAAAAGGCCTGAATTATTGTGCTGAATCCGTTGCTGACAAGCATTCGTATCTTGGCATAACTTCATTAATGGCCCAGCTACCTGACCAACAAAATCATTTTCTTCAGCGCTGTGGATACTGACAAGATCGCCTCCTTGTTTCCGACAGATACTACTTCCCTGATTTTAATTTTTTTAATTAATAAGATATTTATTAAATTATACTCGATAATATTTATACATTACCCCAAATTATTTTATTATATAGTAAAGCAGCTAGGCTATAGCTATTCCTTTCCTTTATCTAGTGCAAAAGGTTATTCGGCGGCTGGGAGCGAACCAGCATCTTCAGTAGACCGGACTGATGCACAGCCTTAGGAGTTAAATAGCTATATGCTTTGCAATATCTTCCTACGGGTACAGGCTGAAGTGCTTTTAAGCTTTTCGAAATGCAGCGATGGGTTATCGTTTGACATGTCGTGATAAATTGCAGACAAAAGTATCGCAGGTGTTCGATTCGGAACTAGAAATCGGACAGAAACGGATCATGGATCAAAATCTAGGCTATCGAGATGATAGTTATTCTAGATATTGATCTAGATCTTTTATGATACTTTCAGTTAGGTTTCTATTCAAATAAAATTTATGATTGGGAGGTAAAGGGACACTGCCATACATCGGTGTATAGCCAAAAAATTGTCACTTAATATTTTCGAGATTTTTGATTAGACATAAAAAAAGCATTTTTCTATTAATTCAATGTCAAAAATTAATCAACCTCAAATTGAGTAATCAAATCAGAAATAATCGCCATATACCCATAAGTGCTTCCATCACTATCAACTCTCGTAGTCCATTTACTAGAGCAACTACAATGGGCATAGTAAGGGAGGATTAATGAAAATAAAATTAAAGGTATTAATGAGGTAATGGACATTCTCAAAATTTTAATTGAGGTATTTTAATTTTAGCTGAGGTATTTAGGTAATTTATTTTTATTTTTTTATTCGAATGAATTAATTTTGACTGATCTCCATTTCTTATAAACGAAAACATAAAGCAAAAAAATTTTTTTAATAAAGCCAAAATAATATTGAGCCAAAATAAATTTTCTTTTTTTGTGTTTGAATAAACAAAAATGGCATTTGGCCATTTTATTATCTTATAGTTTGAATAATATTATACAGATCAGTTCCAAATTTGGCAAGTTTGCGAATAAAAGGTTTCTACCTCTTTTTTGTTAATTAAAGCCACGTTGTATTTTTAGAAAATTTTTTTAAATTTGAATCCATAAATAGAAATTTTTTATTTAATTTTGCAAGAAAATATTTTTTAAAATCCCAAATTAGATAAAAAAATATTTGAATTTCTCGAAATTTAATTTTAGATAGGCAAAAATGAAAATCCAAAATTTTTAAATTTTTTTAGATTTTATTGTTAAGCTTTCATTCCAGGATTTTAAATAAAATAAAATTTAAAATCTGAATTTTTCTGTTTTGAGTTTTGGATAATCTAGGTACACTATGTATTTATACGAAAAGTGCAATACGCACCAGGGAAGTGTCGGGTTGAGAAAGAAGTCGAGTCGGATTTAGGGTTGGGTTTTCAAAATTTACTTAGACTAGGGTTTCGAGTCTCAGGTCGGTTTTCGGGTCTAAGGTCGTGTTACGGGTCAGGTTATTTTAAAAATTGACCAAGAATTCAAATTACTCGGAATGGGTGAATTAGTGATTTAGGGGTTTGATTTACACGAATTAAGGTGAGAGTTATAATAATGTCAAGGGATTTGAGATTTAGAGAGATAAAAAATGATTGAAACGATTAAGCGGTATATCGAATCCACTGTTAGTTAAACCTCCAGGATCCTCTCCGAACCCTTTTATCGATAAGATAATTTAGAAATTCCGTGATATATCAGATATCACTTCAAACCTTTCGATATCTCTCTAAATTCAACTTAATCGCTTTAAATCCGCGATAATCCATGTAAATCCCCGATATCTCAAACTTCTATGTATATTACGACAAAGTCCCTTAACTTTCTTGATTTATAGGATAAACTTTCTAGGAAAATATCGGGTTTCGGTTAGATTTTTGAAAATTCCTTAGGTCGGTTTCGGGTCGAAAAAAGGCAAAAAAATCGGGTATTGAGTTTCGTGTAACCCGACACGACCCTTCCCTGATACGTATTGTATTGACAACATTGAGTAAACGAATATTTTTGAAAAAAATTGTAATCTACTTACCGTATTTTCTCGATTAATTCCCCTGGGGAATTATTTTTTCAACCTATCCGTGGCATGGGGAATTAATAGAGGGTGGGGAATTATTCGAGGGTGGGGAATTATTGTTTCAACCCATTCCTGAATTTAAAAAACCGCACGAAGTTTTGGAGTTCTGTCTTTCATTTCTATATACTACTGTATATAGATATATAAAGCAAGGATATATCACTAAGCAAGGAACCATATAAACAATGAGTGTTGTAGTTGGACCTTTATCTACCCCAATATGGGAGTATTAGGATTATAGTGCCAAATGAGGAGTCGTATGATACGATACTAAGGGATATATATTCTATATCCTACAGCATGGAACCATATAATCATGGAATTCCCAGGATGGATCATTTAATCTATAAAGAAATAAAGAAGAAGATAATACATAGCGGTAAAAAGCATAAACGATTAACTTAGGGGACTGCACTTTTTATTCTATGGGACGAATCCGCACTGGGACGAATTCAATTGGAAGGCATGATATCTGACAAAAAAGGCAGATATAATATTTAGAGGGATATCGGTGGATTAAAGTTCTAGGGATATCTGTGGTTTAAATTTTAATATTTATAAATTATTTTAATATCAATTTTATTATTTTAATAAATATATGTATTATTAATAAAGGGAATTATTCGAGGGGGGGGGGATTATTTGAGAGTGGGGAATTATTTGAGGGTGGGGAATTATTATTTCAACTCGTCCCTGGCATGGGGAATTAATCGAGGGTGGGGAATTAATCGAGAAAATACGGTATGTTTGAAAAAATTTTCCTCAATGTAATTATAAATTAAACATTTTGTATCTCAACTTAATCTCGATTGGAGACCTGGCTTATACACATAGGTATATCTTCTTTCTAAAATATACAAATTTTCAATGGCATATAAATCTAGGATTAAATTACATAATTAAATTGCATCACTAATACAATGGCCGGCCATGGATATTCAATCTGCTTCAAAATTGCCATATTATTCGAGGTAGTCATTTAAATTGAAGGGGTCATTCTATAGTTTATACATCGCCAAAAGGACAATTTATTGGTGGTGCCATTAAAATAAAGGGGCATTCTATTAGGGGTAATACGGTAATTTAATCCATATTTGGGTTATTATTTGCTATGGTGAGATAAAACCTTCTTGAAAAGTAGAGGTAGTTAAAATAAAAAGTTTTTCAAGGTTTCAAAAATTTTATAGCAAATCTGATATTTGAGATTTTCACATCTGATACTTGTGGGAGTTCTCATACCTTTCAAAAGCAATACAGAATTTTGGTAGAGGAATTATTGTACAAAAGGCTCTCTGGCACAATTTAATCTCAAGGGTACACTAGATCGGTCCGACTGTAGTTACTATTTTTTAATAGTGACGGCGCGAGAGCGCGGTGGATTAGTTCGTTACTAAATTCGTGCCGCTAAAGTCGCTTGGCGCAAAAACACAGAAATACGCATCGCGCAACCAAAAATCGCGCAACCGTTTATTTATTATATGAGACCCCAATAATTAATCTACACAAAAACCGTTTTAAATTTATTCAAGTTTAAAATGAATTTGATTATAATTTTAAAAAGTCAATGAATTAAAAATATGTTTTTACGTTAATTAATCAAGGAAGATATAGGATTCTTTAATAAAAATTTATTTAGAAAATCATTTTTTGTTTTAACCACCCATTAATTTCTTCGCGTTTTATGAATTTTTATCAAGGCTTAACACATTCCTTTTTGCAAAGCACTTTGCTTATAGGACGGCTACAACCCACATCCTTCCATTTACCATTTGAAATTACACAGCAGTTTTTCTTGCCATAATTGCCGTCATCCATGTGTGATGCATCAGCAGGGCAATCCTTTGCCCATGGATTTTTCGAATCTTTATCCTTAGTAAAGAAAATATATTTAACTATATTTCATGCTACAATATAGCATGAATCATATCTTGATATTGTGGTATTAATTCCTGCCCTCGGTATAGAAATTTTCAATACTATGTAGTATGTACTTAACGTTACTTGAGAGATTAATGATACCCCTCGGTATGTAAGACCCTTAAAAATATATGAGCTTACTTAAAAGGGAATAACGTAGATGTGGGATTCATTTCCTTCAAGTCTATGTAATAAGTCTTCAAGACTTAGATTGAAGAATTATTTCCCTACAGGAACAGAAGGAGAATGATATCACATAATTTCAAATGGTTTCCCTCCATATCCCCTTATTTATAAATTTTAATTACAGTTTCGTAATAGCATTGCTTATCTTTCCCATCCAAGCATTCAATCTTAGTACCATCCTCGGTCACCATACGGTGCATATCAATCCAAACATCCTTTCCTTTACACCCACAATAATGCTTACAAACATGTTCGTTTTCCTCCTCAGACTCAATGGAGCATACGGAGGCGTGATGCTTGCGACATTTCGCAAGAGCCTGAAGGATAAATTTTGAGAATCAGGGATAATTAGCCTTATTACCTTCCAATAGCTTCCCTTTACAGAATATTTATGGTAACTATAACATTTGCCATTTTTGAAACATTTCCACTTCCACCCATCTGCCCCACATATATTCGAATTGTTTCCACAACTATTAGGAGTAGATGTTTCTGTATCTTCCGTTGTAGCTTCGTCGTATTGCACATCAGTTGTTGCCTCTTCGGGTGTTTGTGTTGTTAGTCCAACTGCTGTTGTTGTAGACGAGGTTGTGGTGGTTGAATTATCCTCGTTTGGACAGTCAGCCGAACAGTTTCTTTTACAAATTCCACCTCCGAGCAAAGCGTAACACGAAATGTCGTTCCACAGAGGAGTTGTATCGTTAAGAAACATCATTGTACATCCCTCAATCTCCCCTTTAAAAATATTATTAAAATATTTGGGCGGGATTTAGTTGATAAATTTGAAATTTTCACTTGTAGTCCGAGGCATACAGTAAATGAAAATTTAACCCTTCGTTTTTGGACTGTTATGTTTATGCTTTTGTCTGTCATAAATCCTCAAGGGACCCGGAGATCCTAAAGATAAAGTAATCTTGGGTTTCCGAGTCAGTTGCAACTAGCCTAAGCCCTCACGAGGGCAAGAAATAATTTCTATTTTTTAGATTCATACCACTAGTAGTAGCATTTAAGGAAGATGGACTGCCATACGCCCATGGACGAACATCACGACTGGGTATTGGGAGTCCATCATAACGTCCGTAGTCGACAGGCGTACCGTCCAACCATGCAGAATGTACTGTAGGATCGTTAAGAGGATGTGCAAACTGAACACGGGAAAGGCCAATCCAAAACGAACGATAAAGCATATCTTAAATTTAGGATTTATAGTTGTGTCAGAATTCCAAACAATGTACATCCGAAAGGGTTTTACTTTTATAAATTATTTTCATAAACTACCAAGAAATGCGTCGCCTGTGCTATCATTTTTAACTCTCTGCTGACAAGCATTTGTTTGTTGGCATAATTTCATTAATGGACCAGCTATTTGGCCAACAAAATTATTTTCATCAGCGCTGTGGATACTGACAACTTCGCCTCCTTGTTGCTTACAGATTGTGTTTGCCTTTATTTTTATAAATATTTTCAATATACTTTGAATTTAAACACAATCTTTTCTCTTTCTAAGGACTTATTTTTCTTAATTTTTTGGGCTTGCAAATGATAGAGGTCTTGATACCACCGGGTACAGGAGAGTATACAAATCATTTTTAAATATAAAAACTCAATGAGGAGCTATCGTTTATCAAAGCGTGATATAGTGGATTATGGTAGGTTCAATGTAATAATAAGGGCTATCATTTCATTATAGCCTTCTTAGTTTTGTTTCATTTTAGGATAAAAAACTCCTTAAACAATTTTTTATTTGACATAAATTTACTAGAGATCGCTAGTTGGATAATGCAGAACAAAGTTATAATTTGGCTGTTAAGCGGCATTACTGTATGTCGATAGAATGCGGATAAGGGTATTATTAAATTATTTATTTTAATTCGATTAATACTTTAGGCCCCTCTATAAATTTCTCTTTGCTTTAAATCATTCCTCTAAATATTTTTTAAATTATATTTTCTTTGTGTAACCTCAAATATAGTAATCAAATCAGAAATAATCGCCATATACCCATAAGTGCTTCCATCACTATCAACTCTTGTAGTCCATTTACTAGAGCAGCTACAATGGGCATAGTAAGGGAAGATTAATGAAAATAAAATTAAAGGTATTAATGAGGTAATGGACATTCTCAAAATTTTAGTTGAGGTATTGAAGAGTTAATTGAGGTATTGAATATTTATTTGAGGTATTTTATTATTTTATTGAGGTATTAAATTTATTTATTTTTAATTTTTATTAGAATGAATTAATTTTAGAATACTTCAGCATGACTTATAAGCAGCAATATTTTCAAATTTTAATCCAATAATATTTTTTCTCGTTAGATTTTTTGAATACGCAATACCTGACTTTTGGCCATTTTAAAAATATTATTATTTATTTTTAAAATGCAAATCGTTAGAAATTTTTGGCAAGTTTGGGAAGAGGGTTTCTCTCTATCTCTCCTTTATGGCCTTATCCACGTTGCATTTTAAATAAATTTGAATTAATAAAAAAATTTTTCTAGAAGAAAAAATTTTTTTCAAGTGAATCCTTAAATAAAATATTATTTTTTAAACCTTGCAAGGAAATATTATTTTAAAAACCCAAAAATCAAACAAAAAAATATTTAAATCTTGCCAAATTTAATTTTAGAGAGAGAGAAAAATGCAAACTCCAAAAAATATTATTTTTTATTTTTTAAATTTTATAGTTTATAATTAAAATTAAGTGGTGGATTTATTCGTTATTCTATTCAATAAAATAGAATAATATAATAACTTTTGGAAAAATTCAGTTGATGTATTAAGGAAGTGTTACTAGTAGGGTTGCCGTTTTCTGTTCGAGTCGACGTTCGGTGCATTTTTTTCGAGCTCGGTTTTTTTCGATTCGGTTCGTTTTCGAGCCTTCGAGCTGAAAAGCATCGGCTCGCTTGATCTTTCGAGTTCCGGGTCGAGCGAGCTGGCAACCCTATTTATTAGGGTGTTGGTATATTTAGATGTTTATCTGTAATCTATTAGCTGGAATATAATTAGCGGGTTTCGAAACACAATCCTTCCCTTTATTTCATAGACGATTTTAAGATGACATACCTTCGGAACCTGGAGCTATCTACATAGGCTATATTTGTTGGACTCTGAAAACGGAGAGCTATCTAAGCGATATTCTTAAATTTTACATAACATTATAATTCCAAAGGTCTTTACATGGGCTAGGCTGACAAAAATTAAATACCATATCTTAGGAATTTATTTTTTATTAATTAAATTTTATGGATAAATAAAATTTCTTTCTCTGGCCTAGATTATGAGTTCAACGAAGGTTTGTCTCTATATGGGGTACGTTTAATTTTAATGAAAGTTGGCCCATGCCTGAAAACTTTCGGGTCAGGGTCGAGAGGGTTAGCTTCATTATCATTAGATAACCTCATTAGACCTACTTATTGAACTCATAAACTAGTCAAGAGTTTTAAATATTAATTAAGCAACGACTTTGATAATACGTGAAATATTTAAAATATTTAATAACTTTGAAATATTTAATAATATTTAATAATATTTAATAATATTTATATAATTATTTATCGTTTTCATTCAATTCAATATTTCGAATTTTCAAATTATTCACTTCCATATTTGTCTGAAATATTATTCATAAAATTGTGGGTATTTAGAATTTAAATATTTTAATTTATTTATAATTGGGTATATAATTTGAGTAGATATTGTTGAGTAAGACAGAAAACTAGGCTCCGATTCTCGGTCATTTCCCTAATCCTGATTTTTCCAATAAAATTTTAATTTAACAAAAATCAACTCTTACAGGTCGCATTCTTTCTACCGATGCAATCAGTGAATCTAATGCTGCCATGGTGGAGCTCTAGTGTATTTCATGTTATTTGTCAAAATTATAATAGTTCCAGCTTCAATAAAGGAAGAAAGATAGGCAACTAAAAGGAATAATAAAATGAAGAAACGAGTTCCAACATTCATTTCTAATTTAAAATCTTAAAATTCTATAAAAAAGTTTAGATATAGAAATTATAAAAGAAATAAATAGAGCTCTAGCTTAAAGTATGAGTCCAATGGAGGCATGAATATATTTCACTTAAGAACCTACAGGGAAATTCTTTAAGTTTTGAATGGGAGAGGGGAGTGAAGGGAGGGGAGAGGAAAGGGTAGGGAAGGGAGGGTTTGGAGATGGGAGGGTAAGGGTTGGAAAGGGGAGGGAAGGACTCTCTAAAAATTGGAGAGGGGAGTGTAGGGACCCTCCCTTCCCTCTCCAATTTTTTTGGGGAGGGGATGGGTTGGTTTTATCTCCTGTAGGCACGTTTTCCACATATTAATATATTCGAGAGAATTTATAAATCATCATTCGTCAAAGGTTTGTCGGATTAGAAAAAGTGGATATCCCGAAAATTTATGTTCGGATCTCAGAACCGGATATCCAAAAATTTCGTATCTTATTGGATATACCGGGATTTCTCAGGATTAGAAACCTATAGGACCATTCATAGCAATCATTGGACTCATAAGCTAGACCAGAGCTTAAAATATTAAAGTCAGACGACTTTTAAATTTTTAAATAAAATATGAAGTTAAAAAATTTTATCAAAAAACACATCTATATGTTGATATTTTTAGAGTTAAATTTAAATTCTTGCCATTTAATTTTTAAAGATTTCTTCCCTAATAATATCCTGAAATATTTTTTTTTATAAAATTGCTTGTAGTATTTAAAAAGAAAGTTAAAATTATATTAAGAATTTAGATCAGAAATAATTTTAGCTAAAGTTCTTGAGTTCTTATTTATTGCAATTGATGTTGCATGACGTCGAGCTCTCATGTCTTGGAATGGAACTGAACGTCCCTGTCTATAAGGGTGGGTAGGCCAGGTCCAAGGAGGTCCAATAGCAGAATCGACTAAAATTTTTGAGATAAAATTTTAGTATATTTCTAGTGATTTTAAGAAAATACCTTCAGTAAAGGAAGAAAGATTGACAACTAAAAGGAAGAATAAAGCGAATAAACGTATTCCACAATTCATTTTTAAAATAATTTTAAAAATTTAAAAGAAATTAATAAAAATATATTTTAATTATGTCAAATATTAAAGCAAATCACCTCTAGAATTTTGATTAAAAATTTTTCTGAAGGGTGCGTTCACGGTAAACACTTAGCTAAGAATGTATATCGGATAATCCTGAACTAAGACAAACAAATATTTTCAGAAAAAAGTAAGCCTGTTCATAGATAGGCTGATATGTGACAAATTTTCGAGTTGCCACTGGAAGGCCCCAACATTATAATCCAAGAAAAGTCCCCAACATTATAATCCGGCGTATAATTAAAGAAATAAGGTAGCAGACTGAATTTGTGCCTCATTCTAAAATATCGCACTACATTAAAATTATGTAGGAAAAAAGAAATTCGAAAGTAGAGTTTTCGAGTTCGAATTCGTTAATTATTAAAGAATTTTATCAAATTTAAGTTTATATTAATGAATAATAATTAAATTTACACTGTAATTTATATTATCAAATAGAATAAAAAAATATTTAAAATATGTATGTTCATGTAATTTAAAATAAAACTGCATAGTTTCTCGCCGAATTTGTTAAATTACTAAAAAATTAACATTACTAATATTTATTTTTAATTAATCAAATTTTAAAAATAAAATTTAAAGAAAGATGTTTTTGAAAACTTGATTGGAGTAAAATTTATAAAATCTATTACTAACGATTTAACAAATTAATTACTTAGAAAAATATTAATAGGGAAATTTTTTTAGTTTAAAAAATCTTGCTATAACGCGTCCCGTCTGATAAAATTCTATAAAAATAAAAAATCTGACATAAGAGAGATTTATGGAGAGATTATCATGAATCGCGAGATTCGTAAAATAATTTCATAAATTAGTAATCATTTTTATTTTAAAATTAATTCATTTTATTATTTATTTAGTTTAATTTTTATAATACTTTTCGATTTAAGGTCCATAATTGCATATTTTCTGAATTTACTTAGTGGATCCGGATATCTGGATCAAGAAATATTATCGTATCTGGCTGTCACGGGATTTTCTAGGAGTCGCGACGTTATTGGACCTATTAAATCCGTGACATAATCATTTTACTTATAAACTAGACTGAAGCCGAAAATAATTAATTAAGGCAGTCGATTTTAAAAATAATTAAATCACAGTCTGTAAAAATTTATTAATGCTTTCAAATTACAATTTTATTTTTGAAATTTTACAAACAATTACTTCTTGGCATTTTATGAAAAATCTCAAAGAATTTTGAAAATTAAATCTTTAAATCATTCGTTTCACAAATTATTTCTTTCCCCCTTGATATCCTTAAATATTTTTATAATATAAAGATATTTTAAAAATAATTTTAATTAGAATTCTTGTCTAAAACAGAAAATTAATTCAGTAGTTCTATAAACTTAGATTTCCCTAGTCTCATTTTTAAGGATTTTAGGGTGAATAAAAATAATCACCTCTTGCAAGTCGCGCTTTTTCTGGCGGTGCAATGATTGAATCCATTGCTGTGGCATGACGTGTAGCTCTAACTTCATAGATTGGGACTGAACGTCCAAATCGAGGTGGGTGACCAATAACAACACGTTTAGCTCTGTCTTGGTCTGGCACAGAACGTCCTGGTCGATAAGAATGTGTAGGCCAGTCCATAGGATACACAACAACACGTTTAGTTCTATAGTCTTGGTTTGAAATTGAACGTCCGGGTCGTCCACGCCGACCACCAGGCAATATTAAAAAAGACTCGACTAAATTGTTAAAATTATTAGAAAAATATAAAATTTATAGAAAAACCTTCGGTAAAGACAGAAAGATTGACAATTATAAGGAATAATGAAGCGAGTAAAATTGTTGCACCATTCATTTTTTATCAAAATGATCTTAAAATTCTAAAAAAGTATATAAAATTATAAATAATAAATAAGAGATGGCTCTGGCCTAGATTATAAGTCCAATGAAAATTTATGAGTCAAATAAAATTGGAGTCCACTAAAATATTTTAGAATCTAATATATTAATTCCGACAATACTTTCAGGGCATGTTTATGACTATCTCTCATTTAATGTTTTTCCAATGTGTATGAAGTTAACAAGTTGAGATCTTATAAAGAGTTCCTACGATATATTCTCTAGGGTTCGCTGATTAAGTGTCTTCATGCTTATCTTTATTCTAATATTTGTTAAATAATGAGGATATTTAACAAATCCCTGGCAAGTCATGTAATGCGATAACTGGTAAAACAAAATTGTACTCATAAACTAGACCAGGACTGTAAAAATATTTAATTAAAGTCAGATGACTTGATTATGAAAACAATATGCGTTTATCTATAAAATATTTATCAAATTCTAATTCTAATATTTTTATATTTTAAATTAAACTTCCTGCTTTTACATTATAATAATAAAGCGTTAAGATATTTAACAATTAAATTCTCAATTCATTTCTTCACATAAATTCCTGAAATAATTAACATAAAAATTCATTTTTAAAATTTATTTTAAGAATAATTTTAAGTTCAAAAACACTTTCAGGTAAAGTTAGTGATTGAAAATGATAGCTAGACGCGGTTACCATTATACACACACAAGGGATCCTGCTTTTTTGGACACGTTTTAGTATTTTACCTCTAATTTCTGCCAACCTAATCCCAGGATTATGATTTTTTGCCAGAAGATATGCAACTGTTTTAGGATCATAGAAAATTTATTCAGGGTCTTAAAACATTTAGTTGAATTTATAATAAAATTCCTAAGTAAAATTCCCGATTTTTGGAATAGGAAGGACATGGTCCCCGTACAGCAGTCCAATGCCAATTTTTAAGATCGTTATATGAAAAATAACAAATTTCAATTAAAAATAGATCAACCAACTTAATTAGAGATGTTTAATTAATTAATTAGCGGTGTTTGCTCCGAACCGAAGCATGGCACCTTTAGCATTAGCAGGAACTGAACGTCTAGGTTGTCCTCGACCAGGCATGAGCATAATAGAATCGACTAAATTTTTCAAATTAATTTTGTATTTTTAAATTTAATTAATTATTAAATAACGAGAAATATTTTAGAAATTACCTTCAGTATAGAAGAAAAGCATGACAATTAAAAGAAATATTAGCTCTAATAAACGTATTCCACCATTCATTTTTAATTTCTAAACTCTATGAAATTCTTTAAAAATTTTTAAAAATTAATTAATTAATAATATATGGCTCTGGTCTAGATTATGAGTCCAAAAATTTTTTATGAGATCATTTGAGGTACGTTGAACACAAAAATGGGTCCAAAAAACTCCATAAAACTCAAAATGAGACTAAAAAATTTTCTGAGCTCCCTTAAGGTACGTTGAACTCATAAACTAGAACAAAGCTGAAAAGATAATAAATCGGCTTAAACGACTTGTATAATTAAATCACATACGTATATCTATTTTAAATTTATCAATTTTGTCAAATTACATTTTTAATTTTAACATTATATATATTTTTTAATTTGAATTAATCTTGCCTCTACATTATATCATTAAATATTCAAATCATTTATTTCACGGATCATTTCTTTCCCCCATGATATCCTGAAATATTTTTATAATATAAAGATATTTTAAAAATAATTTTAGTTAGAATTCTTGTGTAAAACAGAAAATTAAGTTCAAGTCTTGTCCTTCTTTAAACTTTGAGTTCCTTAGTGTCCTTCTTCAAGGATTTTAGGGTGAATAAGAATAATCACCTCTTACAACTCGCATTTTTTCTGGCGGTGCAATGATTGAATCCATTGCTGATGCATGACGTTTAGCTATAACTTCATGGTTTAGAACCGAACGTCCTGGTCGTGATGGCCGAAATGGAAATACAATGGAATCGACTGAATTTTTTAAATTAAATTTTTTATTTTTAATTTAATTATTAAATATGTAACGAGAAACTTTTTAAAAAATACCTTCAGTAAAGAAGGAAAGATTGACAACTAAGAGGAAGAATATAGCGATTAAACTTGCTCCACAATTCATTTTTATTTTAAATTATTCTAAAATTCTGAAACTTTTTAAAAACATTTTTTAATTTTTGATAAACATTAAAGAAAATCGCCTAAAAAATTTTGATAAAAATATTTCTAGACAGGCGTTCACGTAGATTACAAAAGCTAAAATTTGGGGGTGGGTTAAAAATTCCGATTTTTTATATATAATATTCCATGAGTTGGTCCAGGGTTGCCGCGGGTACAAAAAATCTTCGGGTACGGGTTTCGGGTTGGCAAAAATATCGGGTTTCGGGTTGGAAAATTTTCTTTTCGGGTATCGGGTTTCGGGCGGCAACCCTGATTTGGTTGTTCCACGAGTTGGTCATTCCTTGATTTGTCTGTTCCATGATTTGTCTGTTCCTTGAGTTAGCCCGACATGAAAATTTGGATTCTAACTTGAAAAGGAACATAAATCTGAATTAAAATTTTCGAGCCGATTAACCTGATGTCACATTAAGAAAGGCAAAAATATCGTGCTTAAGCTTTCAATGTTAATACTAAAAAAATGCATAAGCATTTCCCCGATCTCACCCAAATAATTATCCCCCCTTTGATTAATTACCCACTCTAATGTGGGGGGCTAGAACATACACTGCGTAACAAAAAGATGGCGCATCATGTTTTTTCGATATAACTCAATGGAAAAGGGTCCGTTTTGACTGAAAATTTTTTTGTAAATAGTTTTCATGACTAGGATAAAGATAAGCTAAACCGCGCGGAAAAATTTTTTTCCTGAATTTTTTTATAAAATAATAACCGTTTTAGCAGTGTAACAAAAAGATGGCACATTTTAAATTTTCGAGATTAGGAGTGGTCTGAAAAATCTATAAAAATTCCTGTAAGCATCTCTATTGATATAGATAGAAAATACAAAAGAAACGAAGTTCTAATATACTTCCATCATCGAGATCTAAAAACCCGAAAATCAACGGAAAACAGGGGGTGAGCGTCTTTAAAAAATATTTTCTACCCCTTATAGGCTAAATTAAATTTCCATTTTATGCTTTTCTGAAAGCCCTTTAAATTTGCTATAAGAAACCTTATTTCTAATAAATCGAAAAATTTTACTTGGGAGATATTGAGTGTTAAATTCAATGGACATGAAAATCATTAAATTTACCCCTTTCTGAGCACCTTAAAAATTTAATGAAGTACAACTTAATGGAAAAAAATTTCTGTAAATTTTGCCGCGCGGTTTAGCTTATCTTTATCCTAGTCGTGAAAACTATTTACAAAAAAATTTTCAGCCGAAACGGACCCTTTTCCATTGAGTTATATCGAAAAAACAAGATGTGCCATCTTTTAGTTACGCAGTGTATGTATAATTTAATTATTTTAGATTGAAATAAGCAGTTAAATGAATAATATAATTAAATTTGCACTTAATTTATATTAACAGATTTAATACAAAAAATATTTAAAATTTTGTTCCTTAAAATATACTTTATGCAATTAAAAATAAAATTGCATTATTATTCGCTAAATTTGTTAAAATATAAAAAATTTAAGTTCCATTTAAATATTCATTTTTAATTAATCAAAATATTATTTATTTCCTTTTTCGTTTAAAAATAAAATTTTGAAGAGACAGATGTTTTTTAAAAAACCTGATTGGAGTGAAATTTAAAAATTTAAAATCTAACAATTTGACAAACAAATTATTTAAAAAATTTTAATAAGGAGGAAGGATACATCATTATCACTAAAACACATCCTCGTGATTGAATAACGAAGAAGTAAATTTACAGACGTGTCGGAAATCGGAAGAGCTTGAAATCAGAACTGGCTCAAGAGTCGGAACTCGGAAATCGGAGATAAAGATTTTTTCGGAAATCGGAACAAAAAAACTCCGAAAATTAGAAATCGGAAATAAAATTTTTATTTTCGCATCTGAATTAATATTTAAAATTGTAAAGCGGTAAAGCGGCCTCTTGAGTGTAATTTGAGTGAGTGGCAACTCAAAAGTCAACTTTGAAGGGATTAAAAGAGATTGTGGTATTTGGGTGAGCAGACAGGATATCAGAAAATTTATAGAGGGGATCTGGAAGTCAGATCAGAAATGGATGTTTTTAAACATGGTATTTGAACGGATTAAAAAATTTTGACATTTGTTCAATAGGGAGTTGACTTTTTAGGAGTTGAACTTCTAGGGTGGACCCCTAAAAAGAAGGGGCGTTAAAAAGAAGAAAGAAATGAGAAGAAGATATAATACGAGGGTCGATTTATATGAGAGTCGATTTTCCCTCCCTCGAATAATTCCCCTCTCTCAAATAATTCCCCCTGCTACGGATGAGTTGAAACAATAATCGCTTTCCGCCAAATACCTTAAAACACGTTCAACTTTTATAACTCGAATAATTCCCCTCCCTCGAATAATTCCCCATCCCACGGATAGGTTGAAATATTAATTCCCCAGGGGAATTAATCGAATAAATACGGTAAGTTAGCTTCAATGTCATAAGTACGAGGGTCGTTTTAATGTATTTATAAGGTATTTCTTTATACTGTACTATATACAAGTACGAGTCGCAGCCTGCATATTGACACTTATGAAAGACAAATTATCTAGTAATTATTACATATCTAGAGTAAATCGAGTACCGAGTAAAAGCGGGAAAAACCGAGTTCGAGTAATGCCGAGTTTTAAAACCCCGAGTTCAAGTACTCGAGTTCAAGTAACTTTTTAGGCCGAGTTCGACTACGAGACTGGAGACTCGGACTTACTCTAGTATGTATTATCAATAAGTCCATTTTTACCTTGTGTTTTACTCAATAAAATTTCTAAATAAATAGAAAAAAGCAAAGAACTTGCTTTTAGATTTAAAAATAGCAAATTTAAAATAGTAAAAAGATTGGGAAATCTCAATTTTATCGAATTTTTATTTAAAAAACTCCAAAAAAGGAGTAAAGAATAATAATTTAGCAAAAAGGTAAGCTAGCGGTTGGCCTGTCATTCAAGAACAAAATATTTAGATGAAAAAGACTAAAGTTAACACTTGGTTTCAAAATACTCAGCTGTTTAAATATTTTAAATGAGCTTTGAGTTGAGAGATAGCCTAATGTTTCTTCGGTAATTCTTAAGGGGAAAGTGCAAATTAGACAATATAAATACAGCTATGTGAAGTTGAGTAATACATAGGTACATTATTTTAATTAAGTTATTTTGTTATACGTTATGTTATCTTATAAAATACAAAAGATCACCAATAGTAAAGCAGCTGGTCTATAGCTATTTATCTCCCTTAGCTAGTGCAATAGGTTATTCGGCGGCTGGGAGCGAACCAGCATCTTCAGTAGACCGAACTGATGTGTTAGCCACTACACCACTCACCCTACTGCACATCCTTAGGAATTAAATAGCGTTTCCAGTTCCGGAACTGGAATTCCGGAACTGGAACTTTTGCATCACTGACCCTAAGCCGAGATCCTGCGAGCCACAAAATATTTGTGGATGTATATTTTTGGGACACAGTGTATATATTAATATTAAATTTAAATAATTTAAGAATCTAAAAAATGCTTTCTTCTTCAATTAAAATTTGTTTATTTTTGATTTTAATTTTTGTATTATTCCAATTAAACGCTGCTTGTGTTGGATTATATGGAGTATGTTCTGGAAAAGGACAAGGAAATTGTTGTAAAGGTTTAAAATGCCGTGATGCTTTTTCCGATAGCTCCATATGTGAGCGACATTGAAATGAGAAAGTATGTCTATGAACACAAGATATGCAGCAGATGTTAAATTATAGTATTTTCACAAAATTTCCTTTCCTGGCTGTCAAATTCTCTTCTTTAAACTTTTTTCTTTGAAAATGTAAAATTTAACAATTTTGTTGAATAAAACAATGTGATATATGTATGATGTATAATCTTAGAAACAACGGAGAGAGAATATATTAGCGGATTTTTATTAGCCGCCGATTATTGAAGATTTTTATCGCCGCTAATTTGTTACAATTTTTAAAAAATTCGATTATACAAATTTTTAAAAAACCTCGGTTATCCTCGGTACTCGACCTCGTTCTCGGGTCCATATTTGGCCCTCTATCTCGGCTTTTCCACTCGGTGATCCAGGGCCTCGGCTTTTTCAAAAATGTCCATGGACAGGTTTGACTAAAGCAACGTTTTTCGTGCATTGCACGACCAAACTATGCAAGCTCAATCAAGGTATATATCAATCAAGGTATTTCAAGGTATATCAATCAAGGTATATATGTCTATGAAATTTTATTAGCTCGATGGAATAAGGTTGGCGATTATTATCCTCAGATATAAACTATATTTGATTCAGATATATTTCTGATACAACGAAATATACAACAAGACAACGAGAACCCTCAAGATGTTGGGCTCACAAACTAAACAAAATATAAATATATTTCTTTAAAGTCACACGACTTGATTATTTGAAGTACAAACTCATATTTACATAATATTTATCAATAGTTACATTTTTAAGTTTGAAATTCTAGCCTTTATATTATCACATAAAATTGTTAATCCGATTATCAATTGAATCTTTTATCATTCTTTACCGATCATTAGCCTGAAATATTTTACAAATTTATTTAAATATTTTAATTTGAATATTCACCACGTCTAGTATCCTCATTATCCATCGGTGCTAGAATTGAATCCATTGCTTCAACATGCCGTCTAGCTCTGAAGCCTTGTTCTGGAATAATAATTTTCAAGAATCCGTTAGGATATGAAAAATTTTTTAAATGAAGTCTATTGGAAAATATTACTCTAGGTACTGTTTTATTCAAAATCTCGCTTTAAGGGATAATCATTTGAGAGGAGGTAATCATTTCAGAGGATTCAAGCATATTTCATGATAGCATATTATAACTATATTTAAGAGATAATTATTTTAACAACCCCTGGTCTGAGGGGGGGGGGAGGGGATAATTCTATGTTATCTATATGAGTAATTATTAGACAGAGGGCTATTATTCGAGCATATACGTTAAGGCGTATTTATCCAACGATATAAGGTCCAAATAATTTATAGTTCTTAAATCTATTCACCTCTTACAACACGCATTCTTTCTGGCGTTGCAAGGATCAAATTCCGTCTAGCATACCGTCTAGCTCTAAAGCCTTGGTCTGGAACTGAACGAATCGGTTTTTTCCACCAAGGGCGTTCAGTTAAAGAATCGACTAAAATTTTTGAAAGTAAAATTTTATAATCCTTTTTTATGTTACCTTCAGTAAAAAAAGACAGATTGACAACTAAAAGGAAGAATAAAGCAAATAAACTTGCTCCACCATTCATTTTTAAATTATAAATTCTAAATTTCTAAAAAAGTTTATAAAATTTTATTAATAAATAAGAAATATGGTTCTGGTCTAGCTTATGAATTCAATGGACAAATGTCTGTATTACATTTAGGGCCTGTTAGATGTGATTTAATTTTCAAGGTCATGGTAGAGAATGATGGTTCCAATTAAGATTGATTCCAAATATGATTCCAATTACGATACTCTCTCATGTAACGTGTCGTTCTTATTAATAATACTCGGACATATTCATTGAACTCATAGCCTAGAACAGTAACCAAAAATATTTAATTAAAGCTGTCGACTTTAATATTAAATCACGTACATAAACTTCCATAATATTTATCAATAATTAAAATTTTAGATTTTAATATTTTAACTACCAGACTAGGACATGGATACAAATATTATAAAATGCCTGCGGATATCCGTCTGTATCCGCCGAAAATATCCGTATACGGATACCTAAATCAGTATCCATGTCCTAGTCTGTTAATATTATAGAAATCTTTCCCTTACAGTATAATAATGAATTAAATTGTAAATTATTTGTATTATTTAATTCACTGTGAGTCAAACCTCCCTAATATATTAATAATCATTTGTAACCAATATCAGCATTACTCCAGCAATTTATCAATAAACAGAACGTCATGCGATCAGAACGCGCTTTCCGTTTATAACTATAGTTCCGTCTGAAAATATATTTTATTTTTTTTAATTAATAAAAATAGTCACCTCTCGCAACACGCGCAGTTCCGTCATTAAGAGGAACTGAACGCGAATGACGTCGAAATCTAACATTTTGGGTTGGTACTGAACGTCCTGGTCGTCCTGATTTACTAGCATACTTTAAAACATTCGATAAAGCGTCAGCTTCCGATAAAGTGGATTTATTGGCATCGACTAAATTGTTGAAATTAATTTTGTATTTTGAATTTAATTATTAAATAACGAGATTATTTAATAAAATACCTTCAGTATAGAAGGAAAGATTGACAACTAAAAGTAATAATAAAGCGAAAAAATGTATTCCACCATTCATTTTTAACTTATAAATTCTAAAAAATTTATAAAATTTGATATTTAATTAATTAATTAATAAAAATATGGTTCTGATCTAGATTATGAGTCCAATAAAATTTTTAAGCTTAACAGAAGTAGTGTAAGGATGATTCACCTAAAGCGATTAAAACGCTTAGGCGGATGTTAAACGATCTAAAGGATGAATGAGAAAGGATTAGGGATGCCTCGGTAACTTAGTGTTAAAACTAATGTAGTATGTACAGCTATGGTGAACAGAGTACCTAGAATAACTCTCAAGAGGTCGTAGGTTCAAATCCTGCTACCTCGGTCGCACAATCTTCCCCTTGCTAAACTCTTTCCGTAGGTTGTACTCATAGACTGGGCCATACCTCAAAATATTAAAGACTATCTAAAAAGATAAATGAGAAAGCATTAGGGATGCCCCGGTAGCTCAGAGGTAAAGCTACTGTATATGGTGAACGAAAGAGCCTTGCATAACTGTCAAGAGGTCGCAGGTTTGAATCCTGCCGTTGTTTTAATCCCCCCTCCCCTTCCTCTTGCTAAACTCTTTTGTAGGTTTAACTCATAAGCTAGAGCAGATATTAAAATATTTGAATAAGGTCTGAAGACTTTAATAATTAAATCATATACGTATACTTACATAATATTTATTAAATTTTTAAAAATTATGCTTTAATTTTAATATTTTAACATTTTTAAATTAAACTTGCTGTCTTTTGTCAATTAAATTTCAAATCTTTTCTTTCGCGAATAATCCTGAAATATTTTTTTCAAAAAATAGCTTATATTTAAAAATTAATTTCTTCGCCAAAATTTTGTCTCTCATTAACATTTATTATTATAAATTACTATACTATTACTATACTAATTACTATACTAATACTACACTATTACTATAATAAAAATAGAAATCATCACCTCTTTCAAATCGACTATTAAATTCAACTGAACGTCCTGGTCGAACTTTAGCAATCGTTTTCATAAAATCGTTAAAATCTGAAAATATTTTTAAATTTATAAAAATAGTTACTATACTGATTAAAATTTTTCTACTCAAATCTAGTACTGATTAAAGTAGAACTTCGCTTGTATCTTAAGGACAATTTTAAAAATGTGTATCATAGAGGACAGTTTTTTTAGATCGAAAGGTGTCGTAAAATTTGGGTATAATTGTATTTTTACTTAGAACAATAATAAAAATCATTACCTCTTACAAATCGACTATTGAATCCAACTGAACGTCCTGGTCGACCTTTTCCCTCATTAAGTTTAGCAGCTGTCTTGAAAAAAGCGTCAAAATCTGAAAATTATTTTTTTTAATTAATAAAAATAGTTACCTGCTCTTGCAAGTCGCATTTTTTCTGGCGGTGCAATGATTGAATCCATTGCTGTGGCATGACGTTTAGCTATAACTTCATGGTCTGGCACAGAACGTCCAAATCGAGAAGGGGGAGGTTTATAGGTTCCGTCTGGAATAATAATAATTTTAGTTAGAGTTCTTATGTAAAAAAGAAAGCAGTTCCAAGTTTATTCGTGCCCTAAGCTCCGCTTATCCATGGTTCAGTCTGGAAGGTTTTTAGGATAAATAGATATAACCTCCTCTTGCAAGTCGCATTTTTTCTGGCGGTGCAATGATTGAATCCATGCCTGTGGCATGACGTTTTGCTCTGTCTTGGTCTAGCACAGAACGTCCCGCTCGAGATGGGTAATGATGCCCAACAATACGTTTAGCTCTAAATTCATGGAATGGAACTGAACGTCTTGGTTGTCCGATTCCTGGTCGCAATACAATGGAATCGACTGAATTTTTTAAATTAATTTTATATTTTTATGTATTAAATAGTTAAATAACGAGAATTTTTTTTAAAATACCTTCAGTAAAGAAGGAAAGATTGACAACTAAAAGGAAGAATAAAGCAAATAAACTTGCTCCACCATTCATTTTTAATTTTAAATTCTAAAATTCTAAAAAAATTTTTATAAAATTTATTAATTAATAAAAATATGCATCTGGTCCAGCTTATGAGTCCAATGGACGGATGTCTGTACTTCATTTAAGGCAAGTTAGATTTAACCTAAATTCTCAAGGTCATGGTCGAGAGTTATGGTTCTAATTAAGATTAATTATAATTATTATTCCAATTACGATACTCTTTCATGAGATGTGTCTGTCGTTCTCTTAAATATCTTCTGACATATTCATTGAACTTATAGTTTAGACCAGTAGCCAAAAATATTTAATTAAAGTTTTTCAACTTGATAATAAATCATGTACATAAATTAACATAATATTTATCAGTAATTAAATTTTTAGATTTTAATTTATCTTGCCTATATATTATAATGATGAATTAAATTGTAAATTATTTGTATTATTTGACTCATTGTCAGTCAAACCTCTCTAATATATTTAATCACCCGAACCAATATCAGCATTACTCCAGAAATTTATCAATTAAACAGAACGTCACGGGATCAGAACGCGCTTTCCGTCTAAAAATATTTTTTTAATTAATGAAAATAGTCTTAATTAATAGGAACTGATAGGAATTGTTCCGTCATTAACAGGTGAACGCCAATGTCGATAAGGTCGGTATGGTCGATACGGCCAAGTCCAAGGAGGTCCAATAAGAGAATTGACTAAATTTTTGAAATTAAATATTTTTATTTAATGAATTTAAGCATGAAATACGAGCATGATCACGGTTACAAGTTTTACTATCCATATCCTTATAAAAATTTTTTAGCTATCTTTCAGTCGGAACATGGTCTTCATATATTTATCCACCCTAGTGTTGTCGGTTCTGGACCGAACCGAAGAACCGAGTACGATTCAAAGAACCTTGGATTTTTCGGTTCGGTTTGGGATACCGAGAAATTTTCTAGAACCGACAACTCTAATCACTCTATCACGTATTCGGCACTTTTTCCAAAATTTTTATCCTTATCAGCCAGTATCCGTGTACATGCCTAATTGAAAATAAGAAAATCCGGTAATCCTGCAGAATCTGGGAGACACTTTAAAAACACCTTAAAAATTATTATTTCTTTCTGAAAATAATTTTATATAGGTAATCGACCATGCTGATCACGAATCTGATATCAGATTTTGTCAAATGTGACATTTTATCTATGATTTTTTATCATATACTTGATTTGGGGGCGCTTTAGTATATTCCCACAGGTTTTCCACCGAAGATTCCGTTGGTCATAACTTTGTTCAGAATCATTCAATCGAGTTGAATCTGGTGTCATTCAACTCAGCTCGTCAAGTTCTCTCGAATGAGCTATTATTTGGATTTTCAATTTTTCGACCCCAAAAATTTTCAAATTTCTGGGGCCTGTAACTCGGCCCTATGGAGTCGGATCGGGGTAATTTCGGTGGCAATTGACTCAGCTCGAAAACGCGTATCAGATTAGCCTTAAATTTCCTAATATCGAATTTCTACCCCGAATTTCGACTTGGTCAAAATCGAGTTCGGGGTTCGAAATAAACAAATTCTAAGCTCAGATTCGTGACCAGCATGGTCGATTACCTATATAAAATTATTTTCAGAAAAAAAAATTTTTAAGTTGTTTTTAAGGTGTCTCCCAGATTCTGCAGGATTACCGAAAATTTTATGTAAAACCTTCAGAAACTAAAGATAAATTGACAGCTAAGAGGAAAAATAAGACGAATAAACTTGTTCCACCTTTCATTTTTAATTAAAATTGTCTTAAATTCTAAAAAATTTATATGAAAATTAAATAATAGAAAATCATATCTTGTCTAGTTTATGAGGCCAATATACATATGTATGCCCTATGAGGTAAAAAATGAGACTAAAAAATTTGATAAACTCAATAACATGTCCGCGGACGAAATCCAAAATGCAGTCGGTGGAGTGTTATTTTTCCTCAAAAATGGGATCCATGTTTTTCAAACATGGAATCCGAAAGTTGCCTCAGCGATGGCGTTTTGTTATTGATCTCCGTGGTGAATATCTCATTAATTAATATATGTATCCTCAATGAAGTGTTACTATAGGGTTCGCTCGGCGGATTGGGATATGCGGATCATTAGGTCTGTAATACAAAATCGGTTTCTTATCTTATTCGGGTATCGAATATTATTATACAATAATATATAAAATAATATATAATAATATATTCGGGAATCGAATATTTCGGTTCCATATCCATGGATTTCCCATGATTTGCCAAACTAATGATAGAGCTTTTAATGTCCTATTGCATTAGCTAATATATGATTACGATCCAGCCAAAATTGGAATTTTATCCTTAAATAGCATTGCTCTAAAATAACGTTTATTCATCGTTAGTTGTTAAAGTTTCTTCAAATTAATTAAATTTATAATAATATTTGAATAAATAATATAATTAAATTTGCACTGAATTTATACTATCTTATAAAATAAAAAAATATTCAAAATTTTGTTCCTTAAAATATACTTTTTTGCAATTAAAAATAAAATTGCATAATTATTCGCTGAATTTGTTAAAATATAAAAAATTTAAGTTCCATTTAAATATTCATTTTTAATTAATCAAAATAATTTATTTCCAATTTTCGTTTAAAAATAAATTTTGAAAAGACAGATGTTTTTTTAAAAAACTTGATTGAAGTAAAATTTAAAAATTAAAAATTTAATGATTTGATAAACAAATTATTTTAGAGAAATTTTAATGAGGAAGAAGGATAAATTATTATCACAAAAACATATTTTTCATGATCGAATACTGAAGAAGTTCTAAAATTTTGGAACTCTTGTGTTATACACTTACATTTTTTGGACCCCCACCAGGGGTGGGCGCAAGAGACAATCTCAAAAAACGCAAGACGCAAAACGCAACGCAAGGCCAAAATTTAACGCAAATAACGCAAGACGCAAAACGCAAAACGCAAGAACGCAAAATAGGGAAAAAAATTTTTTAAATTAAGTTTTAGACATTTTTCAGTTAAAAATGGGTGTATTACTATAAGTCAGCAAGTCCTAATTGATTTTGTGATACATGTAAGTTTGATGAATAATGTTTTGAAAAGATATAGAAGATTTAGAGGGATAATGGAAGATATCAGAGGATTTAGAGGGATCAAGGGGTTTAACGAAGTGGCGGGGGATTACGGAGATTATCATGTAAACTGGAGCGATCAAGGAGATTTAAAAAGATACCATGGGATTACTGAAAAATGTCGGGTTCGTTAGGGAGACAACGGAGGATAAAGGGCTATCAGTATTTATAAATTGACTCCGGGGATATCAGTTGATTTGGAGGATAACTTGAGATGAGATAACTTGAGATCCGCAAAAAAAAATTTGAGAATTTTAGAAAGACAGAAGCTAGATTTCTTCACTTTTTGCCCTTGGATTAGAAAGATAATAGGGATTTGAGCATATAGTAGGTATCAGGGGTTGAAGAGATACAGCAGGATATCACTACAAATTGCCGTTATCCTTTTAAATCCAACCTAATCCCATCGACCGATAGTCTTCTATCCCTTCAATTCCGCCTAATTTCCACTTATTTGTTAGTCACTTTATCCCTCTTGCATTTCCAGCGCCGCAGGCGAAAATTTTGAAAATTTTGGAAGGCTAGAAAGCCAACTTTCTTCTTTTTTTCAGCGCCGCAGGCAAAAATTTTCAGAATTTTGGAAGGCCAAGAAGCCAGATTTCTCCCATTTTGTCCTCAGATTGGGGATATTTTTTGCGTTAATTTCATCGAAAAAAACGCAAAACGCAAAACGCAAAAAAAGGCCAAAATTTAACGCAAATAACGCAAAACGCAAAACGCAATGCGCCCACCCCTGACCCCCACCCCCATTTCCTTCTCCATTCCATATAATGCCTTGATTTCTAAATTATCTTTTGAATCGCTTTTTATAAATGAATTTAATCCATGCCCATTAATTGCCTTTGACCATTTTGTAATCAAAAGAAAAATTAGAAATGAAGACAAGAGAAGAAAATGGGGCAATAAAAGATGTAGGTGTATAACTCAAAAGTTCCAAAATTTTTTACTTAGAAATCGCTTTTAGCTAAAGAATGAACAAAATAAGCTATCACAAAACATATCGCTTCATTATAAATTTATTCCGTGCTCTTTACTAAGATGTTTTTTGAAAGTTACCGAAGTAAATCTTTTTGGAAAATCAAATACAGCTTCACAAGTATTACATCGAACAAATCGGGCACCATCTTTATTGAAACGTGTAAAATAATTCCAGACGGGTGAAGTAACTGAGTGATAAAATTATTACCAATTAAATATTTTGTGGATGGTTATCAGCATTATATGGAATCGGAAAAGTCTTAAATGGTTTCTAATCCTTATTTATTCAACACATAAAGATATGATGAGATTATAATCTTATATGAATAGATATGAGTCCCGTTAATGTGAGCTTCGGAAAGTTGGGCTACATGATTTCTCAAAATATTCGGCTCCGGGTGAATTTTGGTCTATAACTGAAAAAAGGGAAGGTGGGCCCTAAAAACGGGAACGGAGTGCATTTATGGATTATACAAAAAATCCTTGTCTATTAATTAACTCTATAATAATTTTGTCTAACAAAGTAAACCTAATGAAGTCGGCGAGAGTTTATGCAAAACCCACGCTTCGAGAGGGGTGCTCCGAGAGGGATCTCGTGCTTCAAGAGGGATCACATTCTCGTTACATTCCGAGAGGGACCCCCCATCAAGATAAAAAACCTACAAGGTTTAGTTGAGGCTTTTGTCGACTCTGAAGGTGGATTTTGATCATAAACTAAAATAAAACAAAAATATTATTACATATATGATTTATCGAGGAAAATAAATGTATCTACTAAAAGCTGTCTGTAGCTTAATATGTCCGTCCTGTCTTAACATGTCCGTCTAATATGTCCGTCCTGTCTTAATATGTCCGTACTGTCTTAATATGTCCGTCCTTAATACATTCTGGTCCCTTAATATCCCTCAATATTGTCCCATAATATCTGGTCCCTTAATCCCTTCCTGTCCTCCCCCATTACATTCTGGTCCCACACCCTAAGAATAATATTTATAGAAATGATTAATGCCTTCGTGATTTGAAGAAATTACATATTCTTGTGTTGTCGGGTTATTCATGTTATAATCCGTTTTAGCTTTTTCCTTATTATTCAGTAGAAGATCATGTAAATACCGAGTATACTCTTCGAACGAACTTGAAAATAAAAAATTTAAATCACGTAATTAAAATCAGATATGTAGCCTTAAATTCCGGCTCCCATACAAAATACCGAATTCTTAAAATATGGAATCTCAAAATCGCGAATCGGCTAAAAAAGCTCAAAATATGGAATCTCAAAATATCGAATCTCAAAATATGGAATAGGCAAAAAAAGCTCAAAATATCGAAAAATATCGACAATGCGGCAAAGGCCAGTTGAGTCTGAACAAAGTTGTGACCAACTTCTTCGTAAAAAAATTTTAAAAATAAGAGAAAGTATTTTTCTAAGGTAAAAAAATGTGCTGATTACGAATCTCAGCTCGGATTTTGAAAAAGTCGAATCCCGGACCCGAACCGAATTTCGAATCCCGAACTGAATTTCGAGTTTCCGAATGATAGCTCATCTGAAAGAGCACGTCGAGCTGCATCGAATGATACCAAAATCAATGAAATCCGACCTGATTGGACTGAGTTACAGATCCCTGAATAATCAGAAAAAGACCTGCAGCGGCACTCAAACGACCCTTTTCGTTTTTAAAAAATTCGACATTTTTAACTACTTTTTAGCCGATTCGGTATTTTGAGCTTTTTTGGCCGATTCGCGATTTTGAGATTCGATATTTTAAGATTCCATATTTTGAGCTTTTTTGGCCGATTCCATATTTTGAGATATTTTTACCGATTCGCGATTTTGAGCTTTTTTAGCCTATTCGCGATTTTGAGAATTCGGTATTTTGTGCGGGCACGTAAATTCCATGCATATCTTTTTTGGTAGTTCGATACTCCGAAAATTATTTAGGACATGTCAATTCTCCTTTTGTCTAATCTCGGTTTGTTCTATATTCATTGAAATATAAATTAAACCGTTTATCATCCCATTCCAATATTTGATCATAAGTTTCGGTAGGTGTTTGGAAGTCATATAATCCTTGGGAATCATGATTCTAAAAAATTTTTAATTTATATTCTACTACTTTTATATTGTCCACATTAAATTTTCGAGTTTCTCGAATTATATAGTATTATGAGGGCTGATTTCTATGTGATATTATGTAATTAATAGAGGTAACAATTCATTCAAGCGATTTTCATTTTTGAGCTTTAGTCAAATAAAAAAATTATTTTGCGGGGGGGGGGGGGGGGGGTTAAAAATCACTCATTTTAATTATTTCCAATTTTTGGTTTTAAATTTCATAAAAACGGTTAACTTTTTAAATAGTTATCAAGATAAACCCTAGTTTATATAACCCAAAAATAAATACAGATTGAGTATAATAAACCTGTGTTAATGTTGTAGTCTTGTTTAATTCTAAAAATTCAAATTATAATATTACTTTAGTTAATAAAAATTTCTAAATTGAAGACTGGAGCATTAATATGGAAAATTAACAAGACACCGCACCCGTATTTTCTCTTCAAGCCCATTTTACTTTTTCTTAAACTCTATTTAAATACCTCATCCTGCCTTTAATCTATTTTAACCCTGAATAATATCGGCCATAGTAATATTTATAGCAATGTCTTTCTCTAATTAATAGAGAGAGACCTGCTCTCTTTCTCTCTCTAATCAAGTTCTATCTCTAATCAAGTTCTCTCTCTATTAATTTCTTTTTTTAGTTAATACTTCCGATTGGGTCTAATGATACAAAGAATTTTAGAGACTGGATATTTTGACCCGTTAAGATTCATGGCATTCAAGGCCGATATCGAGTGCCCGAAATCCCGTCTCGGTTAGGTGACTTCAGCCCTTTTGAAATTTAGGTTCCATCCCAAGATTACTTTCTTAAGACTAAAATT